GTACTGCCAAGTGAGGAATAGCTCAATGGTACGAGCTTTGAAGTCCATCAGGGCACCTGTGGCCTGCCCCAAGACTGCGTTTACTGCGGCGACGACACCACTCCACATCCCTTTTCCACACTTCTTCTCTCCCTTTCTTGTTTGTTTGTGTTCCCCCGTTTCTTGTCAAAAACGCTTGACAAAGCCTCTTCTTATTCTGTCCCCCAACTCACTCACTACACTTGCCTGAAAAGTACTTTACTGGGTTTAGCCCCCAGCGTCTCTCTGCCCTGACTCTCACAAAGCCTGTCACTTTTATGACTGCACGCAGAGAAGGCGGTAAAGGAGACCTACTGAACGTGGAAGCGAAGTGACAGGCACAAGGTATCTCCCCCCCCCCCACTCCCCCACCCCCGCTCCTCCTCAACTCAAACACAGAGAAAGATATATAGGTGCATGCAACTAAGCAAGAAATGGAAGGGCGAGTTCCGTTCGCTGCACCTCTCTAGAAGTATAGACGACATTGCTTCTTTTACTCCTTTTTCTGTATTATTACACCGTTCACATAACATTCCCATTGTTTATTGTAACTTTTATTGTTCTTCTTTTACTGCTTTTCTACGTCCATGCCGTCCCCTGTCTCGTTGTGGGTGGGCAACTCACGCTAACAAGGTCCATCTCCGTGATTTTTGACCCCGGGATCGCACCCTCCAAGAGCACGGGTGCCATGACGAAGCGAAGGCCGCCCTTGTGCGCCCCGAACTGCTCCATTGACTGGTTGCACCACGGCTTCTCGACGCTGCTGATAGCCACTGTAAACACCTGACCACGGATTCCTGACTCAGGAGAACTGCAGCAGAAAACAAAACATTTACGATGCCATGAGAAGCGTGCCACGCCCTCTATCATCTCTTTGCTCTTGTCAATGTACTCTATAAGCAGTTGCACTCGGCCAATCGGATGGTTCATTTGACCGAGTGAGGCAGGAGAGCAAATCAGCGTTGCCGTATGGATGTGATATTTGGAAATTTCCCCAAAACAAGGCAAGTACTGCGGCATCGCCACTTTCATGCCGTCGCCGCCTCGAGTTGGCTCCGCAGCTGCCAACTGTGCCTCTGCAGTGTTTGCTCTAAAGGAGTATTGGCCATGCAAAGCCCTTGTGGTGATGATGTCGTCAAGGAAGTATCGATAGTACCCCTGCGTGGGCGTTTTGGGCAAAGCAAGCAGTGGCTGCAAATTCATGCTGCGGATAATATTTTTCCAGACCTTGTCGTGCGTAGCAAGTTTATAAAATTCACTGCACAACAACATCACTCTGCACACCGTGTCGCAATCACAAAAGCATAAAATACAAAAGAAACAGTCAGACTTCCATAATCGGGGAGTCCCATCGGTTGTCGTAAAAGTATCTGCGTTCTCGATTGCTAGTTTGCACATATGGGAACTCTTCCCCTGCTTCTTCTCTGCACTATCGCCACCACCTTCTATGACCTCCGTGGAGCAAACCGCTCTCTCCTCCCCGCTCAAAGTTAACTCAGTTTTCCACGGGCTGCTGGTTCCCAGGCATGACGTGGTAGATCCAGTGCCAATTTCCTGCTGGGGCAACCCGTTACCACCACCGCCACTACTACTACTAGCAGAAGTGCTATTTGCAACACCAGCAGCAGCAGCATGATATACGCAGGCACCGCCATCATCGCCGCTGCTTTCAAGGCTGCTACTAGTTTCACTCTCCGTCTCATCCTCAGGCACCATCGAACACAATTTCATCGTTCCATTGCGCTTTACAGGAGCAGAACCGGTAGTCGGTGCACCCAGGGTGTAAGAGACGAACTCCACCTCTTCATCATCATCAACAAAAGGGGCCTTGTGGGGCAGTCGCCGCGGCGGCGAGTTTATGTCAAAATGATCTGGCGCAGTATTGGTGTGATCCCGGACCCCACTCATGCGTCAAAGCAGAGACACCGATCACAGTGATGAGCAATTCGGTCAAATGGCCACACGAACTGCCCTCCCCCTTCTCGCTTTCTCCCTCTTGTCGTTTATCTCTCCCTTTTCTTTTCTTGTCGTTTCGGCCAGTTGGTGATGTGGTGCCCTACTCACTTCCCCTCTTGGTCCGCTTTATGAGGACAGGTGCGTTAGAAATACACAAAAATAAAAGCGTAGGAGAGGTGGCTTAAAAGAGCGAGAGTGAGAGAGGGAAGGAGAGAGAAGTATCCGCCCCGCAGCAGTCCCAGAGCAACTGAAGGTGAGAGATGCATTTCAGTCTCGATGGACATCCATTTCTTTATTCTTTCCCGCTCGTGATGCACGGAACAGATATCGTGAAGACCCGCGCAAATCATGCGCCATCTCCACACGCATCTTCATGACTTCATTTTGGCACGAAGGGCAGCCAGCTTCGCCTGCAGCCCTGAAAGTTTCCTCTCTTCCTTCGAAGGCCCTGTGGGTTGTTGCGGTTCCTTTTGAGTCGTCACAACGGTGTCCTCCGTCTTTTGTTTCTTCTCCCTTTTTACTGAGACGTCCCCCACGCCACGCGGGCGCTTGTAGTGCAGGTTGGACTTACTTCGGCTCGGGTCTCGTTCCTGCGGACGCCGATTGACGGCGGGTTCTACGGCTGCAGTGGACGCCACCACTTCCGCCTCGCCCCCGCGTTGCTGCCAGCGCGCCTCCTCTCGCTGACAGCGATGGCCCTGCGTGGCATTCGCTTCTCTGGGCGAGTACGCAGCGCGTTTTCGCCGATGTTCTTCGCGAAGCCTCCTTGCAATCTCAGATGCGACCTCGCCGTAGCGCCGCCTCGTAGCGTAGAACGACTTCGGCGCCTTCCCCCTCCGCAGCTCGCCACCCGTCTTCTCCATCCACCGTGCCGTAAATTCCTTCCACGCTGCCTCCAAACACGCCCGCTCCTCTGCCTCCTGCCGCTCTCGCTGTCGTCGCGCTTCGGCTAGTCGGTACATGTAGTGCGGCTTCGCAGGAAGCGCCGTGACCTCCACATCACGCCAGAGGGCACCGGAGAGCGCGGAGATGACGTTTTTCGCGCCCTCAACTGAAAAATGAGCATAGCGGCGGATGCTCCCTTCCCTGTCAAGCCCCAAGTCGATGCTGTGTGGCTGAGCTCCCGTGCGGCCCCGAACAAATTCCGCAATCTCCCGCTTGGTGCAGTCAGGAGGAATGTTTTTTAGACAAATGCGCTTCGAGGGATCCATTTATGTAGTTGTTACTTTTTTACTTCCTTCTTACTCCTCCTCGCACTACCCTCCCCTTATCGACGCTTCAGCAATTCCCGTTGGAGTTGCGTGTTTCTCCCGCCCTGTATGCGGGGGAAAGGGAATGGGAAAGGGCGCGTGCGTGCGTGAGCCGTCGTTACTCGGCCCCTGTCACCCCCCAGTCCGAAGTGTTCTCGCTTCTCCCCGCCTTCGGAACGCTGTGAGAAGAACAAACTACTCCTGCATACATACAGAGGAAGGCAGAACGAAGAGAGCGAGATAAACGACTTATAAAGCACCTCACACACAAATAGAGAAACGTTGGAAACACGTAAGGGCTTATGCCACATGCTCGTGTAAATAGACACAATTCATTTTTTTTTTGTTTCCCTCCCCCCCGCTCTTTTTCCTACTTCATTTTTTAAACCCTTTTCCCTTTATGCGCTCTCCCTCGGGCGATTAGTGTTTTTTTTTTTGTGGGGGGGTTTACACCTTTTCCCTCTATCGTTCTTCAGACATTACACATGCTTGCAGGAGAGATCGCCTCCGTGCAGCTGGATACGGCAAGGCGCTGGCCCCCTACGATCATATTCCATTTTTCCCCCTCTTACACGCACCAAACCCGCCAGCACACTTTAGCGAATATCCGTGTTGTGGTCAATCTCAGAGTAGGTGTAGTTACATAGTTTTTCCCAACTCCCTGTGCGGGCAACACGTTGATCGTAGATGCGCCGCAACTCGTGGACCTGGCATAGCTGAGGCACCTTACATTGCGGCACCTCAACAGTGCTCGTCCCGTCATACGGCGTCTTCAAGATGATCTTCACGTAGACTGGTCCCTTCTTGCCAAGGCGCAGTAGCTTCTTCGGTTGCAGCTTCTCGATGATAAGTGTGGAGGCGACAGGCAGCTCGCTGCGCGGGAGGTGGGGAACGTTGTATGTAAAGCCAAAGAATTCCGCAAACGCGTAGAGCCCCTCGCGGTGAAGAAAGTAAAAGATGGACTCCTGCCGTGTGTGTACAAAGTCATTCATCTGCTTCTCCGACGGTAGATGAATCTCCTCCAGCATACGAATTAAACGGTGCGGCAAATCCACCGCCGTGTACGTTTGCTGCTCATCTGTATTATAAAGTCTTGCCAGGAGGAGCTGCATAGATACATTGCGGATTCGGAAGAGCATATCCGGCGCGACTCGCCCGCCACAGACCTTCATGCCATAGTCTGCATTAAATATCATGCCATCTGCAACAGTTTTGATGTACGCGTACAATGAAGGCGGTTCCTTCGTGGGCTTCCCGCAGACGTGTTTGATGTAGCTTAGCACATTTGCGACATTCTCATCGGCAACAAACTGTGCGAGGCTCTTATTGACCCACTGCTCCACATCTCTCTCTGCACGCCTAAAGCAAGGCACATCATCTAACAGGTACTCGTGTGTATCCATGTCGGAGAAGACGGGGACAAACTGCGGTCGATTGGGAAGAAAAGCACCAGGGCCAAAACCATCGGGGAAAATCCCTTGCGCGACGGCCACAGAGGACTGCAAGATGCGAGGCTCCCCCACCGCACGGAAGAAGTGCAAAGTGCGGTTAAAGCGGTTGCCAATGAAGCTGGCATACTTGCGCCGAATGTATTGTCCCAATTCATACTCTTCCTTCATGCCCAACCCCGTGAGATCCTCCGACTGCACATCGTACTTACGCCGGTTTTTTAGATCTTTAGGACAAAAATCCCAATAGGGCGCATTTGGGGCGCGGTGTCCGTGACGGTTAATGGCGAAGAGTTTCGTGAGGACAAGCTCGTTTTCGTCTGCCTCCTCAAGCCCTTTCCTCAGTTCAGGCGTCTCCTCCGGATCCGAAATGGGCGCCGCCTTGGCATGATAATGGTGTCGAGGACCTCTCTCTGAAGCGGCAGCCGCGACCGCGGCAAAATGCTGCGGAAAGCCCTTGACATTCGTCAAAATAAGTAGTAGGGTGATAGACACAAGCAATCTTCCACTTATGAGTGCCATGGTTGCCGTTAACACACTGCCGCCACCAACTCCACCTGTCGTCGGGGCCCGACGAGCTTCGTCCCACAGCCAGACAGGGGAGAGCGAGAGCCGACGCTATCCCCAAGGAAGACAGGTAGGGAGGAAAATTAAGCCTCTCTGCTTCCGGTCTAGTTGTTCTCTTCTTCCTTTTTCTTTGCCTTCTTGTTGCGTTGTCGAGCAATGAAGAATCGTATCTACGCGTTTACTCTCGCCGCCTTGTGCACGGGTTTTACTTGAGAAGGAACGGGAGATGCCTTGCAAAGGGATCCACTGCACAACATCACTACACACAACGACGACGAGGACAGGAAGGAAAATGGCGGAAAGGTAATAACGGAGAGACGCAATCAAAAGCCATAGTGCACTTAGGGCGGATCATCATCACAGGCACACACGCAGAGAAAAAGGAACAAAAAAGAAAACTACTTCCTCAACGTGTTCTTCTCTGTACCTCTCTCATGCTTGGCCCGGATAATGGAAGTTACACGCAGCCCAGCAGAGAGGCACAACGATTCGCATAAGGCATTTAAAAAAGACAGCAACAACAAAGTTATCACCGCACCGCTACCGTGTTTTCTTTTTATTCCCTTTTCCCCCTCCCATACTGGGAAAGAGAGAGAGAGGGAGAATTCGGCGGAGACATGGTAGGCTGTTCTATTTGTGTCGGTGGTGACTCTTAGCAGCAGCCGCTGTCGTTGCCATCGTCCTCTACGCGTTGCGCACTTTCACCGCTTGGCGCCTCCGTCGCTCGCGAAAAGGCGGCGCGTGTGCGCTCGTACCATCGGATCCTGTCCTCCATGGCAGAACGGAACTGTGCCTGCTCGTAGCGCTGCTTCTTCCAAAGATCAGCATCGGAGAGAGAAAGCAGATCGCACCCACGGCGAGACGTCCCCAGTGCCGCAGGAATGCGCTTCGGCGGGAGATCGAGCCGCACCGTCAACGGCTCCACTCTCATGTCATTACTCTGCTCCTCTAGTGAGGACTCCGCTTCTCCCGGTCTCCCATAATGGGAGTTATCCAGACGGATGAGCAGGTCTCCATCTTCCTGCATGCTAGCCAAGAGCTGAAGCAAGGCAGGCAATTCTTCGGCGTCGCTAATGCCACCTAGCCCGCAAAGGGAGTGGGTGCGAAAGGCAGCGAGAATGTCGGACAGGTAAACGCGGTTCGCAACCATTGCCAGGTCGCAAATGACATGACGTCGCAGCCGAAGGCCAGCCTCGGCAACAAGTTCCGTCGTTCCGTCTTGCTTCCACAAGAACTCAAAACGATTTTCAAGGGTGCTCCATAGTTTTCCATCACGTTGTGCCGCCGCCGACAGCATCCGAACGTAGGGATCGGTGTTACGGCCGCGGCATACCTGCATAACACGCAGTGCCCGCCTGCGGTCAGCGGGATCGTCGAACCCGCCCTGAGATGCAATAGCCACCAGTATGAAGGCCTTCGCTGCCCTCAACAGCGTGTCACAGATTCCTCCACTCAGCCCTAACGCAGTTTCAGGCGGTACTGAGGAGCTTCTTGTGACCTCCACCTCTGCTGCCTGGGCCTCCAATGCCGCTTTACGCTGCACGTGTTTTGACATGTTTACGGCCAAGCGTAGCCACGCTGTCGCATCTTCCCAACACTGCATGGCGGCGAGCAAAAGACCGCCCTCGCAGTAATATGCATGGAGGCAAGTGACGTCCGCGCCGGTGTCCACTGGGGACACCTCTAGCACGGGTTGGCGCATAACGGCAAGTGCGGGCCCTGGACAGCAACGGCGTGCCGCCTCCCGCAGCAAAAGTGGATGGGCGACTGTAATGTACTCCGGTGAGGGAGCGAAGCTGATGGCCGCTTGGTGAAGGTCAAAGAGCGTGTCCTGATAAGCCATATCATCGTGGCGCCCGCGAACCTCAATGTAACCCTTTAACACTTGTCCAAAGCGACGCAAGGCATACTTGTGGCCACGGAGATGCCTGTAGGCAGTGGATCCAGGGGATAAAAAGCAAAACATAACATCTGTCATACATCCAATACTGTCACTGTCTCTGACTTCGCTAAGGACGAGGGCTGCCGCCAGGTACGTCAGGCCCAGCGCGACGCCGCACGTTAGCACTGCTCCCCCCTTACAGTCCGTAAGGCTAGGGGGCACAACATCATCGGAAGCTGCCGCTACTGCATGCTCTAGCCTAAATGTCAGCAGGCCTCTCAAGGCGGTCGACAAGTTCTCAGCCTCAGCAACGATTTCATCCATATGATGCTCCAGAGCAGTTTCAAGTTCCAAATCTTCCTGCTTACTGGTTGGAACCCTAGTGATTTTGGGGAGAAGGATGGAAAGCATGTGCTATGTGTTCTCCCCACGACCTGGCTTCTTCCTTTTTTGGCTCCCAGTTGTAATAGCATCTGACGAGGACGGCACGGCAGAGCCAAAATACGAAGAAAGAGTAGGAGGAGGAAGTTGAGGTTGCAACACCTGGGTCGGGTTTGGGGCGCGATGGAACTCCAGATTAAGAAAGAGCAAAAAAAACCGAAACAAATGTGGAGAAATATACTTCTCTCAGGAAAGCCTCTATGTATGTGCGCGGGGCTCCTCTGCACGGAGGTCCCGCCTTCTCATTCCCCTGGTAACAGCTCTTTCCTTGGCCATTTTGTCCTGTTTAAACGAAGTGAAGGGTTGAAGGAGAGAGAGCGGGAAAAAAAAATGTGGATAACTGCCCGCTTGCGGAGAGAGCCAAAGCACCACTTTCAACTCCGGCGCGGGGCATATGGACATCCGTAGGAATCACGGGCAGATTTCGAGGCACGTGCGTGGAATAGGGTTGTGTCACCGCAATTACAATGACATCTGCATCGTTCACCGATTCTGCGGCACAATATCGACAGTAAAGACCCGAGAGACAGTTTCAATGCAGCGGTGATCGGCTGTCGAGGACTCCGCACGGATACACCATCGCCCGGGTGGAAGGTAAAAGGGCCGTGTATACGGGCACCACTGCACCGAGCTCATGTTGTCCACAGTGTAGCGCACGGCCTCTGCCGCTTCTCGAAGTAGAGGCGCCCCCGCGCTCCTGTTATTCTCATCAAGCAGCCAGGCCGCACGTGCATTAGGCTCTACAATGACACGAGCACCATATGGAAGCGTCACGGTGCATCTCGTGCTTCCCATCATAGCTGCCTCTACAAAAGCCGCGGCATCTTTTCCAAGGGCGCCGCCGCCACCCTGCACGACGTACCGCGCAGCTGTGATGCTTACCGGTGTCGCAGAACTAATCCGGGAAGAAAGTGGCAGAATGACGGGGGGAGGCACAGCCCCATTACTGCATGCGGTCTGCGAGGCGCCGCCCAAACGTGGGAGGCGCCCACCATCACGCGCGTAGGTCACGTCGATTTCAGTATTATAATTTTGCCTAACGGGAACCTCCTGTTGATAGGTTGCGGGAGTGGGTGTGAGGGGTTTATCCTCTTCAGCTAAAAGCAGCGGTCTTCCCTCTGTGTGGCGCATGCGGAGTTCCAACTGCTCGTCGGGAAAAACCAGACGATCAAGGTCCATCACCACCGATCTCCCCACCTCATCCACGCAGAGAAGCGTCAGCGATGTGCCATCCGGCATACCGCATGCCGCCGCCAAGGCAGACTGCAGAGACTTCGCGTCCGTGATGGACATTGCTTGAAGGTCCAGAGAACGTGGGGTTCTGAAGAGGTCAAAGAAGTGCAGCACGCGCCCACTTCCCTCTTGTGCCTCGGCGTCAGTCGACTTTTGATCGGCGCGGCGCTGGCGGCCCAAGCGCAGGAGGATAAACACAAGCAGTGAGGCGACCAGAAGAAACACCACACACATCGCCACCAACACCCCAATTTGCGTGCCGTTCATTTTTTCTTATTTTCTATTTTTTTTTTTTTGTCGCTTTAAAGGTTTCTCTGCTATCCGGCCTCCTCAACTTTCGCCTGATGCCGTGCGGGCGGCGGCAAACCCACGGCATGACCGAGGTGAGAGCAGTGGCAAAAGTGGCGAGAGAGGCGGGGTCATGTATGCGTCGCACACACGTAGCCGCAGTAAAGAGGCACGGCGGGGCAGCAGGAGACAAAGCACAGAGAGACACACACAGGCACGGCAGAAACGCCTTCGCTTCCCCGCTTACAATTTTCGATAACCAAAATGGACTACACAAGCGACAGCGAGAAAAAAAAGTGACAAGAAAAAACGGAGAGGAGTATATATAAAGAAAAAATATAGGAGAGAGAACACAGATAGATAGAGAAACAGAAAAGAAGGGGTGATACTCATTAAAGGTCCATTGGGTCAATTATCAGTTTCTCATTGAGCACGGCCCCAACACCACCTGCCCCTGACGCAGTCTTTTCCTCTCGGCTCGGAGCCAGCTGTAACCAGCCGTCGTCATCGCTATCTGAAATGGGTGCGATGACCTTGACCGTCGATGGCTGTGTACTAACTGCCTCCGTTTGCGTCACCTCCAACAGAACGAAATTTTCCTCAGACTTGCTTTCCCCGCCCGTGCCATGCGTCGCGGTCCTCAAGGCCTTGGCATGGTGTATGCTAACAGCTGCATTCTCCATGCAGGCACTCAATACGTTCAAAGATTCGTAGATGCATTCAACGTCCCTCGCCACCTCAAGCTGCCTTTTGACGACCTCGGCGTCCCACATGGCCAGCTCCATCAGGGTTGGGTTGCCGTCACAATCACTCGTCTTTGCGTTCCCCAGGGATGTGTCTGGGTCGTCGTCGGCGTCTTGCGTTGGAGGATCAATCAATATCTCCTCCCTAGAGATATACGTATCCGATTCATCCACGCCCAGCGTTGCCGTTGGGGCGCTAGACAGGTCGGCGGTACACGCCGCAGAGCCTCTGTTGGGCGTGTTTTCTGCTTCAGCGCGACTGGCAGTCACTTCCTTCTCTGCATAGTTTTTTTTGAGCTGGCTCCCATGCGACTTTCGTATTGGGTAAGAAGGCCTGTGTAAGAAGGCCTGCACCTCACGGAGACAACTTTTGGTGCCTTCAAACGCCTTCTCCATGGGCCTCTGGGCCAATAAATTATGTTCTTTGGCGGCGCCGGAAGAAAGCGGCGGCGACAGGACACTTTTCGTTGTTTCTTGCGGTATCCCCCCTCCACCAACCCCAGCTGCCGACTTCGTCCGGAGTGCGCAGAGCCCAGCCGGCAGCACGCCTCCCTTGCTCCGCCCCCTCCACGCAGAATAAGGAAAGAAGGAGGAAATGGGAGTGAGTGCCGAGGAGTGCAGCAAGAAGAAGAGGTGTTTCACCAAGCAATAATAATAATGTCAGAACAAAAAAAAAGACGGCCGCAGCAAGCAAACAAAAGGGCAGACCTGTTGACACCCATATTTGTATACAGACGCACGCAGTCACTCGAGAGTTGTCTCAGTGGGTTTAAAACGCCTGGTTAACTAAAGATTACAATTGGCGCACAGGCTGGGAAAAGGCGAATACCACTTGCATCAGAAATTAATTTCTCCAGCTAACTAGCAGCGGGGCTCTTGTCCTTGCTCTTGAGGTAGCGCAGGTATGCCTGGAGCTTCGTCTCATCCATTGAGCGAAGACCGAACGGCTCATCTTCTCCCCGCTGATGCAGAACCGCAAGAATCGCAGTCAACAGTTGCATCTTCTCGGCGCTGTTTCCCCGGTTCGCGTTCCCGCCAAATTGCTCTTGCTGCCGACGACGAAGCGCCGCGGCCAGCACAGGATTCTCCGCCGGATTTGCTCGCGTTGGTACATCTGCTTGCGGCGATGGCGACGCACCTGTGTAACACTGCTGCTGCTGTGACATCCTTGACGCCGGTTCCGCCACAGGCAATACGGGGGCCTGCCCACCTCGACTCTGTGGCCTACCGCGCTGCTGCGCCGCCTTCATACGTTCCTCTGCGGCCCGCATGCGGGCAGCCCGCTCACCCTCCGCCGATGCAGGGTTTGAGGTTCGCCGCGGCTGCTGCGTCTGTTGTTGCTGCTTCACCCTCGCGGCACACGCACTGCATTGGCGGTGATCCTTCACCTTGGGCGCACAGTCATCACAGACAGTTTTTTTGCAGTAGCCACACTCGTGTCTCCACAGAAAAAGCCCAAATGGGCGCTTGCACAGCGGGCAGGCGGATGCGGAGGTCATCCGGGAGAAAACTTGTGGCACGTCTTCTAACGGGAGGCACACACACACACAAACACACACCTTCAGTCAGCCAAGCCACAGAGGAGGTCAGGGGAAACAGAACAGAGGATGCGGCTGCCGAATAGTTCACTTTTGTCCCACAACCTCGCCACACAGAGCTGAGGTCAAAGCAAGTACGACGGCTTCAGACAACAGAAGCAAAACCGCCACGAAGCGAAAAAAAAAAGTAAAAAAGTATATGGGCACAATTCAGGGCAAAAAAGTCCGCTCATTCATTCCCTGGCCGGACGCCTATGTACATACATGTGTATATGTGTATATCCACCAAGCAAGCACCTCAAGCCTTACATCGGCCGCATAAATTACAAAGCATCGTCAGAAGCCCCCAGCAACTCAGTCATCGGTGGATTTCGCCGCCTCCAGTATGGAAGAAAACGTCGTGAAATCCACGGCGGCAGTTGAAACTCCCGTCACAAGTTTATCAAACATCTCATTTATTTCCTGGTCTGTCAGGCGCTCCTCCATCTCGCCCGCAGCTCGTTTGAGGCTCTCCTTTGTTATAAACCCAGGATAGTTTTTGTCCTCCAGCAAATGAAACGTAAACAGCAACTCCTGCTCGTACGTGCGTCTATTGAGTGTCTTCAGCACCACAGCAACAAAAAGGGTTGCGTCCACGACGTCATGCTCCCTGTTCGGACTCTGCGCCATGGGGGAGTCCTGGACATTTGATCTCCGGCTGGGGTCACCACTCCCAGGCGTCTTTTTCGCATCCGCCTCCTCCTTCAACTCCTCCTGCACCGCCTGTACGAGAGAAAGAAGGTCAGAGCGGGCAATGCGGGTCCCGGTGATGGTGTAGAGCGCACGCGTCAGCTCCTGCATCGAAATACTACCAGTGCCCTCCTCATCAAACACATTGAAAACATCAAGTATGTCCTCCCGAAACGCGTCAAGCGTCGCCATCTACACAGCTCAAACCTAGCCCAAAGAAATTCGAACTCCTATCGATCAACTAAACTTCCACACAAAATATAAAATAAAACGCAGTGCATATATATATATATCCAAAGCACATTAGACAGCTCTCAGCACAAAAAAAAACCGCATGCACCGCATTACACCCAAACGGAATAACAACAAGCAACAAGCAAAAAAGAAAAAAAAACTCCGTCGCGATGTTCAGTGCCGTACAACAGCAATGCATCAGGGTTCAGACTCGTCTTCCAATAGTAGCAACATAGCAATTTCATCACGCCCATGGGCGGTGACGCAGAAGGAAAACCGTTACAGATGGTGTGATGTTTTTCTTTGGTGTAGAAGAAGCAATAAAGAAGAGAGACAAATGGGAAAGAAAAAAAAGGAGAACAAAAAATGAAATCAACACTGAGCATACATTGGGAAAACAGGCGAAGCAAAGAAGTCAACAGGGCGCAGAAGGATCGCTTCGGTGCGGGCGTACAGGGTTATTTTATAGTGCTATTCCGCTGCACGTTCGGTTGTTACGCGGCAACGGTGGGTTCTCGGCCCTAGTCGCTCTTGCTTCCTTTCGCTCACGACGTGCAAGAAGACGTAGCCCGAGGGAAGTGCTTGAGCCTCACAGCATTTCCACCAGTGTTTTGATCACCATCGCGTCATGGTGATGGCGAGAGGTATTCTTTTGCCGCAGCCCATGCCGTTCCCCTGGGTAGGCGAGGATGCTGAATGGCTTTCCGGCGGCGACCATGGCGTTGATGAGGGCACAGGAGTGGGTGAAGTGAACGTTTTCATCCAGCAAGCCGTGGGCGATGAATAGACGATTCAGCTCATCCGGAAATCCGGCAACAAATTCCTTGATTGCACTCTTCGTGTAGGCCTTGCTGATGGCATCCTCCCTTTTTCCTTCCACGGCGCAGGCGTCAGTGTCATAAAGCTCGCCCATGTATCGCTCCGTGTAACCCGTGTCGTAAAGTCTCCAGTCGGTCACCGGTGCACCAGCGAAGCCTATCTTGAAGACATCTGGCGCCTGCGACATCGCCAGAAGCGTCGCGTACCCGCCGTAGGACCAGCCAAGGACAGCAATTCTGGCAGGATCAGCAATAAATCCGCTCGGCTGGAGAGACGACGTTGTTAAGTGCTTCACGAGGTCCACGTAGTCCGAGGTTTCAAAGTTTCCCATGTTCTTCTTGCAGACACTAAGTTCCACAAGACCATTGGCATTACTCATTTGCCCATCCGCAACTAGGACGGAGATGCCGCTCTTTGCCAGCAGTTGAAAAAACGGCTTGCAAAGAAGAACGTAGTCCTCCACGTAAACCAACTGCGCATGTGGTCCGCCGTAGACGTACATGGCCAGCGGAGCCGGTGTGCCTGAGACTACAGCGGGCGAGATGAACAGTCGACCACTGAGTGGCACACCGCGTCGGCTTACGGTGGTGACAAGTTCTGGCTTGATAAGGTATTCATTCCGTAGAAACGACGCCGCACCGTCTTCCTCTGCACCACTTACTTCTTCTTTGCCGTCATGCAGATATGTTTGAACCATGTGCCGTGATTCGGGGGACGCCAGCGAGGCGATGTAGAGCTTGGGTGGCGTCGTCGCCGTGCTCGCGACGTAGCAGACGTAGCCTTCCCCAACCGTGTAGGTGTACACGTGTTCGTGGAGCGGTGACAGTCGGGTGAGTTGCGCCGCCGTTGCGGCCTCCGTGGAGGTAGGCCGGAGAGGAGCACTGTAGAGAAGACTACCAAGCCTGCTGTCCGCATTGGCCGTGAAGACCACCCGGTCTTGCAGCACGCGTACGGTGTCAGGTTTGACGTTCCACGCCCCTTGCGACAGTGCACGCCACTTCTTGTCGGCAGACGCCAGGTCCCGGAGGTAGAGGTGGCAATGCGCCGTCTTTGTTTCGACGGCGTGACGAAGGAGAATGTCATGTTTCTCGCCAAAGAGAATGGGGGGACCCTGCGGCACCTCCACCCACGCCCACGGGATGTGTTCCTGCCACTCGGTAGTAAACGCGACCACCTTTGCCGTTGCATCACGCGTGGCGGCGTCCGTGGTGAAGAAAGAAGCCAGCTCCGCGACGTCCACCAGCGGCAGCGTCTCGATGCGGCAGGACAAGACACAATAGCGTTCCTGCGTCCGGCTTAGCAAGGAGAAATAAATCGTGTCCTCGTCCTTGAATCCAAAGCGTGGTATGTACTCCGCCCACGGTGCCACTGCCGAGATTGATTTCTCTGGTACCACACGGTAGCGTTTCGTCTTTCTTTCGTACACGACAAGCAGCGTACGAGCATTGGGATCCCCGACCCAAGGGTACGGCATCTTCTCCACACCAGATTTGGCGCTGCCGTCAATGAGGGAGACGTTTTGCAGCATAGACGTATCGGTGTAACTGAAGAAAACATGCTTCTCCGTCGCGTAGTGACCTGTGTAGCGATTGAATTCCTCTTGCATGATGTAATCCGCCGTCCCACACTCATGTAAGGCGTCTCCGAAAGTGGTGACGCACTCCACATCGACGTGGAGGGGTGCCGCCTGCGTCTCATTCTGCTCCACAACAGTCGCAACGTACACATTGCTTCCGTACACAAAGCTAAGAACGTTGGCTGGCGGCGCGGGATTCACCCCGGCACACCCAGGCTGTGGAAAGTGCTGGAGGCGCTGTATACAGATAAACGGCTTCTTCGCATCACCAAAGCAGCGCTGACGCGTCTCTTGATCGATGTGGTCAAATATATTTAGAGGGGGCTTCGCAGTAGACGGACGGTACAGGAAAGTACCCGTGCCAGAGGTGTACACTACAGTGCCGTCGGAGGGAGTGACGTGGTAGTTAGAAATGCCAGTCACTTGCCGGCGGAGCCGTTCGCGTAGCAGCTCTTCCTCCTTTGACTTTGGCTGAGACGCATTGGGCGGGCCCGCCGCCCCCGCATCCCCCCAAGGAGCAACGACACGCCTTGGAGTCGCGTTTCGATCCACGAGACTGACGGCGTACAGCGTCTGCTCGGTCCCCTGAAGCCAGTAGAGCTCGTCGCCAATAATGCGCAGATTCTGTGGTTTCCCGTTGATCTTCTGGAGACCATCCAAAGCCTTCAATCGCTCGATATATGTTGTGAGTGGTACTGTGGGCATTTCGCTTCCTCTGTTTTTTTATTTTTCTTCTTTTTTCCACCGTCAATGTACGTGCGGTCGATATGGCGCGTGTAAATGACGCAATTCACCTAAAATGTAACAGTTATGTAAATAAGAAAAGGTTTCTCTTCTACTTTCGCTTGTTGCTACCGGGGGAATGGCGAGTCAAGACAACAGAGATATATGTATATGTACATAAGGCAACAGGCGCACATGCGTGCGGGGCAATCCTTTCCCCACGCCCGTGTCACAGTTTTTCATCAGTAGCCGAAAAACACACAACCAGCAGGCATCACTCACTTCACTTTAATCGCCGCTCTTCCATGCGGCAGTGATTTTTACACACATATACTAGAGGGGAGAAACAGGGGCGGGCTCTACGGTTGCGTAGCGTGAGGAAAAAAGTAAAACAAGAAAATAAGACTGGAGGGCCTCTCTGTCAACGCGTGCCAGCGCAAGGCAGAGAAATTCCACGCGTCGGCCTCCCCAATGCCACGAAAGCAGAACGTTACTTTGCATTTCACATGCAGCAATTAGGTATAAAAAGAGAAAAATATGCAGTAGGCATGTATGGATGTGTATGTGTGTAGGGGGAGAGGGGTCTAGATACACACCAGGCGCACGTGTGTACGGATAACTATGTACGTCGCGTTTTGTAATCCATGCAAGTAACTTACTATATGTAGGTGCCCTTTTGGTATGCCCCCCTCCCCCTCGCTCCCTCTTCTCCGCTTTCAGTGCTGGCTTCCTTCTTCATGCGAGTTCATGAGAGCGATTTCCACGTGTTCATTTTCACTCGGTTCCTGCGTCTCCATCATCTCCATCATCTCGTCAATGGCATGCACAGAAGGTACTACACTTATGTACATATACATCAAGAGGAAAGGATGAATAAGGAGAGGATGTGCATGCGGACGTCGGTGGAGCATGTAAAACAGGCGTCACTAGACGAGGTATACATAAGTGTCTCGTTCCTGCCGCGCAATAAACTCGCGTTCAATGAGCTGCGACACGCAACGCTTAAACATGGGTGCCGTGACAGCAAAATGGTTCACAAGGAGTGCCGCAACAGAGTTAAAAAGATCGGAATGCGCAAGCGAGTGTTTCTCCTTCATGATGCGTACGATGCCAGCCTCCAACTTCCTCAGCCGCTCCGTGTCGAGAATGCCATCCACCGTCATGACGATTGCCTTGCTGTCACCCGGCTCCTCCTGCAAGTACGGCACCCAGTGATGCAGCGCGCTGGCAGCGTCAATGACGACTTTCCGCTTCCTGCACTCCGCAAACGATGCCGGCAGACTGTACGTGGTGGACCCACCAGCGCCGCCGCCGCCGCCGGCAGTGTTGCTGCGGTGGATGGCGGCAGCGGTCCGCCTCACGATGCGGTGTCGCACCAGGCCGCCCAAAACGGCGGCGAGAAGCGGCTTCGGCACCTCGACAGGCAGTTTGTCGTGCAGGAATTCCAGGGTACAGCTGGTAGGGCTGAGCACGGATGTCGTGGTCGAGGAATCGTCGTAGCGCTCAAGGGCCTGCAGCAGCAAAAGACCGACGGGTGGCATCACCAGCTGCACACTCGAAACAGGATCGCGCTCGTGCACCTGCGCCGCGTGACACACCACAGTGAGCGCCCCACTTCCAAGTGACCACGAGAGCCGTCGCCGCTGCAGCACACACTCCGCCCCAGAGAAGGTGCTGGACGCAGGAAGAGAAGTGCGTCGGGACTCAGCGCTTCTGCTGCCAGCGGCGGCGGCCAACACGTGATCCTCCTGGCTGGCGATACTGTGGTCCGCGTCGTCGCCACCGTCCAGGCTCCCGCGGCTGCCAAGGAATCCAGTGCAGCGACTCACACGGGAGGAGACGTGCTTTCTCGAGTTACTTCCCGCCCCATTGCCTTCCACGCCGTCAAAGCGTTCCTCAAATGCACGCATCGCGTACAGCATTTTCGCGTCAAACCACTGTCCTTCCTCGAAGCAGCGCTGCATCTCTGAGAGATTCACAGTAACACGAGCGTACTTCTCCCAACGGGCCTTACAGAGGACTCGCACGTGCCGAAGCAGCTCAGGCTGCTGTAATGCGCCGGCGACAGGTGAGATGCGATGCGGCGCCGGCGTCCCAGCACGGATGTCACGCAGCAAGGCACAGGGTTCCGCAGCAAGGGCATCACCCAGACGTACTGCCAGACGGGAGATGACTTCCGTGTCCATATCCAGCGTCAGGGATTGCTGCGCCATCATAAGCCGCGGTGCCAGCAAACCGCAGTAGCAGTTCACAAAAAGATCTTTCGAGTGAAGGAGGGAGGCGAGCTCCAGAATGGTGTCAATGATCTCGAGGTATGTGCCACCGCCATCGGCTGGGCCCCCGTGCGAATTCCCAACGGCCACCTGCTCATGAAGGGCACTTGCCAATGTGAGTACGACACATGATTCACGTTCCGAAAAGAATTTTTGCATGCCTTTCCGCACCGCCCGCAATGTTGCGTGGGCCCCCGCACAACCAGCAGAGGCGGGCGGCTCCAGCAGCTGATTTGTCAGCCTGAGAAGAAACACACAGTGTTGGTAGACATCACGCGGAAGCGCCTGCAGCGGTGCTCCTGTCGTGTGCGACTTCGCCAGAAGTTCCTCAAAGTATCGACGCACAGCCGCTCCAAAACACGCTTCAAAGTCCGAGAGCAGTTTTGGCTCGGGGTTGAGAAAGAAGATCAGTGTCGCAAACCCTGGGCTCCGCGGTAAACTGCCGTTCTCGGTGGTAGAGCTGCCTCCGCTGGCCTCCACCTGACCCAGCTGCCAAAGAGTCCTACTGTGGGAGCGAACACCAATGGAATCGTCCAACTGCCCAGTCATCTCCTTCACACTGCTCCACCGTGCGGCACGGGCAGTGGTAGACAACATCCACCGTTCTTGCTCTTCCTCGCAGGCATACAGCCAAAGTGGCAGGGCCCAGGCATCAACAAATTTAAGAAAAACGACGCCCTGACAGAATCCAACGGAGAATGCACGTTCCGCCTTTGAGAAACCTTCCCGCCCGAGCGTCGACAACTGATCCACATGCTGTGTCCCGCCACCAAAGTACAGCAGCATGGAGCTGCGAAGACGCATGAAGGCATTCATGCAGTTTTGCAACGCCCCAAAGGCATCCTTGAGCCTTGGGGCCTTGTCATTCGTGCCGGTTCCATCTTGTACTAACAAAGGTGCCAAGTTGGTGTACGCCAGCTCACAGCCGTGCTGTTCATTGAGTCCAACGACCCGGTCTGTCACAAGGCGGGAAATCTCCTGCGCACAACACTCATCCAACATTGACAAAACTCGACAGACAAGCAAGACATCACGATCCCTTAAACACCTCAGTGCATCCAATGAGAATGAGGGGGTGGAAACGGCATCAAAACACGCTTGCGCGTCTGCCTGAGCGAGTTCCGCCGTTGTAGGTTCATGACAAGCATGAGAGTTCTCCAGACAATACTCAACCGTGCGGTGCAAGACGCTCTCTATCATGACAGTGTTGTACTTTAGTGTTGACAGGACGCAGCTTCGCATAATGCGCCACGCAATGTTGTCTAGCTCAACATCTACGCGCAGAAATACAACCCGCAGAACCCACCGCATTCGGTGATAGTGCAGGGCAAAGGTGACAAGACTGTGTAGAGCCAATATTTCCTCCTCCTCCTCCTCCTCCGCTTCCCTCTTTGCTGTCTCCCCCCTTCTGTGGGACGCTGCTTCCGGGTGACATTCCTCGCCGTCCCCTGAGTGCGGCCGCCTCTCATGCGAGGCGTCTTCTGGCATCACTCTGACTGGCCGATCTCGAGAGCGTTTTTTGGCCGCCTCCACATCATCCATCGCCGTTACCCCCGCCAACGTTGTCCACGGCCTGCTGTTGGTTTCCAACGCCTCCTCCCAAGCATCGCTCAACTCACGGGAACTCCACCAGATCGACCGCGGCTTCAACTCTTCGATAGATGGCGCCGGACACGCCTGGAGACGACCGCCGCTGCTCGCACACAGCCGCACCACCCACGCAGAAATAGACGAGGCAAGCAGCTGCTCCAAAATGACGGCGTTCGACCAGAACCCCACTTTGCCGAACGTTGAAAGCATGTCGTACACCCGCGCATAGAGCATCAATACGTTGCTACTGTCAGTTGCCTCGTTAAAGGCAGCTTCAACCCCCACAGCAACATCGTCCGCCTCCCTCGCACCAGCCTCGGTTTCCCCTTGCCCTATTACCTCCGCGCTGCTCTCATGCCTCCCAACCAGCGACCGGGCAGAGGAGGACGCCGCCCCACCGCTGCTAAAGGGCACCGCAAACGGGTGCAACACTTGGGAGTGATTGGAGAAGTAAAGAAGACTGTTATTAATAGGACCCCACTGACGTAGCCAGTGCAGTAAATCCTTCGCATCCCAATTCATGCTCACAACTTTCCCACCTAACCTCCTTCCCCCTTAATGAACATAATAGTAATAGCAGTAATAGTGTGAATAGCACGGTTCCATGCAAAGGTCAGAGAGAGATAGAGAAACGGAAAGAGAGTGCACATGACGACGACGGCGCACGCCTACGCCCTCCCACACATGCACAGAGGGAGAGAAAGAAAGAAAGAAAAAATGGAGGGAAAACCAAAAACAAAAAATACACACATCAACAAGAACAAAAATACATGTGCTAGTGGTAGACATGCGTCTCTCTCGCTCTTTATCTCTCTCCATCACTCTCTGTTGTAGTGAATGTGGTCGTGTGCGGCTGCAATATAGTAACTGCACGCCCCAATTAAAATAGACATGGTTTGTGATTGGCGTCGGAAACCAACCTCAGAGATTTATGCCGCTTGCCGCCATAGACTGCGCCTGACCATAGAGCTTTTTTGTGAATTTGCCCACGCGGCCGTGGTATATCAGTCCACACGCCGTCCCGTCGTACGTCTTACACTTCCAGTGATGCACACGCTTGATTTCTTCTGGCACTCCGTAGCCGTATTCGTCGCTCGTCCGTTTGTACATTGGATTGAGGGCCTTTATTGTCGGGAGGAAGCGTACTGATGGCAACTGCTTCACAGCCTCAGGTTCAAGGATGAGTTCCCGCAGGTAATCTGGGACAGTCTCCAGGTCAACGAGAGCGGATACCAGGCTTGGCACCGCCGCGTACTTCCCCTCCGCGTATTCCCAGACAAAGTCCAGCCAGCGCTGCATGGATATTTGTGAAGGAACTTCCATGATCTTCATACCCGCCAGCTCCGCCGGGTACGCAAAGAACCCGCGAAGCTCCGGTGGCAAGTCACCACGCGAGAAATGGGGCTGCACTACATCACGAATCACACGCAACACGTACGATCCCGGTGGCGAGTTTGGGTCCGGCCACACCAGCGACATAAGCTGCGTGGCGTAGATGCCGCTGGGAAACCCCTCGACCGGAATGACGGGGCGGATAAGCGTGGGCTCCAGTAGGTCGCCCAGCCGCCACACACCCTCGATGGTGCCCGTCAAGAAGCCCTCCTGGTCCGAGACACGCTCGCTCTCGGCCTCCGCAGCCATCCGCTCATGAAAGCGCATAAAGACATCAAATGTGACGCCGTTCTCCGCCTTCGCACTCTCCCCAAACTGGTGGATCAGCATCTCACGGACGGCGGAGGGGGCCATGACTCCCTCCTTCACTCGGGGGTGCCGTGAGACGTCAAAGACGCGGAAGATGTCCTCCAGATGGAGCAAGCCATCGCCCTTCGTGTCCAGCGAGCGAAAGGCGCGCTCTACGAGTTCCAACTGCTGGGGCGTCAACATTTATCCGTTATCCCTACTTTCTCCCTCTTCTTCCTTTATGCGGGTCGTCCGACGTGGTGGGTCGTCTCTTGCACCAACAAAAACAAGACGCACAGACACACACAACAAAGCAGGCCCACACCCCCCACCTCTCGGGGTTCCCTGTGCGTGAACGGCTGAGCCGCATGAGGCAAGAACAAGAAACGCAACCACAATTAAGGTTTGATAAGGTAGCCACAAGTAGTAAGAAAACAACATAGTGAGAGATATATATATTTAAAAAAACGCACGGCCCCACGTGGCCCTCTCAAGTTTTAAAGGGAACAGTCAAGCTCTCTCTCTCTCTCTCTTTTACCTCTCGTACCCCCCTGTTTTTCCCTTTTCCTTTCGTCTTGCAGGGCACATACAAAGCTATATGTGCATACAAGTATGCATGGGTGTACTGTGCATTGTGTAGTATATTCAAAAACAAGAATGTGGTTAAAAGCAGAGCCGTGAGTCGCAGTGAGAGGAAACGAAATTGCAACGAAGCTACAAAATGAAAACAACGATAGAATTAATTCGTTCCACTTATATAGAAGGTGCGAGTCTCTTTCTCTCTCTCTCTCACTCACGCTCTTTCTTTCACTTCCTACATTTATAATAGCCCACACACATACAAAGCTGCAAAGGATGAGTAGGTGGAGATGCATCACAGTTATTGACATTGCCCTAATCACCATTTGCCTCTTCACCCTAACACACGTACAGACCCATGCAGACGTAAAGACATATATATATATGTATGTGTGTAGATGATAAAAAATGATTCATGTGTGTTTTTTTTGTATCTCTCCTCTTAGAAACCTTTTTCCTTTCCTTTTTCTCCGACCCCTTCGTACACACAGAGACCCAGAAAACAAATATCTTCTTGCGCCCATTGAGTACAAACATCTTTTTCTTCTTTTCTTTCGTTCTTTCTCTCCTCCCTTCCCTTCTTTGCCCTAAAACAATCACAAACGAAACAACGCTCGCTGGAGGAAAACAACGACCCGGCACTCCACCACACACCCCTGGTCCTCATCCTTGTTTCCTGTTACCTCTCTGCTCACTTTTCATTCCTCTTATTATCCTTCGTTTGACACGGCCGGGAAGGAGGGAACGACAGGGAGAAGAAACGGGTGGGGGGAGGAGCACAGCGATGCGGCCCGGTGTTGGCCACGACAAGCAAAAAGAAAAAGTCAAGCAAAGACATCTTGGCTGGAGACGACACTGAGGGGCGCGGTAGCCACCGATGACTGCAGCACGAGAGAGAAAAAAAAAGCAGCAGTAGTAGTAGTAGTAGTGGGGGTAGTGGCCAACTTCAAAAAAAAAACAAAGGAGTTTCCCCGCTTCTGCCCTTCGTGACTTTCCCGCAGAAAATGCACCCGCGCTTTATTGAATGCTCGCTCAGATATTTACTTCGGCCCTTATTCACCGGCAGCAGAGGGCTTTTTTTTGTAATTCTCGCTCTTCGACCTTCGCTTCTTCCTTCCACGCCCCCATCCTTTTTTTTTTCCCTGCCATTTTATTTTCTTCTTTCCTTGTTATTTGTTTTTCTCTACTTGTTGGCGTGCCTGGAAGTGTCCTTCTCTGTAAGCAGCCAAGGGTCGTTTAATTGCCGCTTTGTCCACACACACATGGCACATAATTCATTTTACGCACCCAGCGCCCTTCCCACACCCCCGGGGCTCCTCTACACATTATGATGCACAGATGGACTCCATTCCCTTAGTAAGCTTCCACTACTTCTGCTTCTCACCGGGGAGCGGCTTGCGCGCCCTTACGAAGAAGGACGGGGTGAAAATGCCCATCTCGCCGCCACGCACGAGCCCCTGGACGGCCTCTTCGAGGATCTCAGTTGCCTTGTGTGTGCCTCGCGGCGCAAGCCTGGCAAACTCCAACACTCGGCACATTTTGTTTGTGATCCAGCGTCCCAACGGGGTGGACTTGAGACCCGTCAGAGTCGTGTAGCTCCCTTGCAGCGGCAGGTACCATGGCGTGTTTTTGATCGGGCTTGACTCAAAGCGTTCGGCCACATCGAAGCTCTCCTCCACAATGAAGCCGGAGGCCTCCAGCGCCTGAACCACCTGTTGCTTCGTCTCCAGATCGGGGAGGCTGTCACCAAGTTCAATGCTGTGACGAATACGGCGGTGCTCCTCGTTGTTTGGGTCATACTTGTCCGTAACGCACCACTCGTACAGGACGAAATAGCTTCCTGGCTTGATGACGCGGTATACCTCGGAAAAGCACTTCACCTTGTCCGAGGCATGGCAGGTGGCCTCAATAGCGTAGGCACCGTCATATTCGTTTTCGCCAAAGCACATTTCACAGAAGTCGGTCTTGGTGTAGTTGATCTTGCTGTTCATGCCGTACTTGGTGTCGTGACGCCGGGCGCGGCTGATTTGGTATTCGTTATTGTTGATGCCCATCACATTGCAGCCGGCGAAGCGGACAATGTTGCGCGCCGGACCGCCAACGCCGCAGCCCAAATCAAGCACCGTGTCTGTCGGCTTGAACTTCCCCTGGTACGCCAGGAAGAACTCGTGACGGGCGATCGACTCGAAGAAGGACTCACCAAAGAAGCGCGGGGCAAAGTGGAAGTGTTGCCCCCAGCCGTACTCGTAGAAGTCCGTCACGAGGTCGTAGTACTCGTTCACCATCGTTGTCGTCTCCGCCTTGCGTTCGCTGACGGAGGCAGTTTTTCCCTCAAAGCGCTCACGGAAGCGTTGCGCAGTGGCGCCGAGGTCCTTGTTGACCTCTTCAGCCTTGCGGCTGCGCATGATGTTGAGGGGAAGCGTATCACGACCACCGGCAGACATATTGTTGTGTGTTGCTCTTGCTGAATATCAGCGCGAAATATCAATAAAAAATAAAGCAGAAACCTATTGTATCCACGGCAGGTAACTCCCCGCAAACAGTCAAGAAAAAAAAAGGAAAGAAAAATCCAAAGGGATCAGTAAACAAAAAAAAAACAGTTTCATGTGCGGCCGCAGTAGGCGCGGCTGGGCAGACACGTCTGGCAGCGTCATGACAGCAGCAAAGAGGCCGACCGTGTGGACGGAAACAGATGTCTGCACCAGGATTTTGGCGGATTCGACCCAGTGGGGGGCGCAGAAATGCATTTAACTACGGAAGGAAGCGGCGGGTACGCGCTAAAGAGAGAGAAAAAGAGAGAGATAGTGGATGCATGGGTTCGTGCTGCCGCACCCAATACTGTGGACGACATTTTGTATTCAAAATGGCCAAAATAAAGAACAGCCACAAGGCCACGTACAAGCACACGTAGAGGACGCCTCGACGCCATTCACTGCGAGGTTGCTGCCATACTGCCGTGTGAGCAGTTAAGAAGAAAGTCAGTAATCAAATAAATAAAAAGTTGAAGAACACCAGGAATGGGTGAAGAGAAAACAAAAACAAAAAAAGAAGAAGAAGAGATTCTTCGTTTAGAATGGGCGACCGTGGTGGAGACCCTGATGGCTGGTCTATGCCTGTCCACTACAGAAAATCAACTAGAGGGAGAAATACTGTTATGCCCCATAGAAGACACACACATACACAGAAACACATATCCGATGACGCCGATTTTTCATTTTGGTATCACCCACATCTTAAAAAAAAACACACACAACCTATCAATGGGGTAGCGACAGGATAAAATAATAATGGAGACAAGGCGCCCCGCTGCCGATATAATGAGAGAAAGGGAGAGATAAAGGAGAGGCCAGATGCATCCATCCATACCCGCCCCGCCCCCTCCCATGTCCCTTTCTGTCTATTTATGTGCGTGCGTGTGCGTGTGTGGTTCGCCGCCGCAGCGATGGCCGGGTGAAGAGGACCCCGCAGAGAGCCCTGAGGAAGTGCACACGCACACACACACACACACACCTATGCTCGCCCCCGCACTTTTACTCCCCATCGCAGGCGGAAAACGGGCAAAAAAACAATATCCATAAACATACATTAACTTCCCCCCCCCCACCCAGCAACAAACAAACAAACAAACAAACAAAAAGCGATCAATAGAGACACGCCCAGCCCCCATCGCAGGCGTCTCGCTTTATTGTGCAAATAAATCATTCCTTCTTCACGTTCCGCACCACTATCTCCAATGCACCTAGAGAGTGGGAGGGGCTAATGAAGCGGAGGGCACCCTTTGTCGTTGCTGTTATTATTATTATTATTATTAATACCCTTGTCGCTCTATGATTAATACCGTGCTGAACAAGCATTTACGTTTTGCCTCTAACATCTCATCTTTTCTTTACTTACGATGGAGGGTGACGCCTACCGTATCCACAGTGTGCATCGTTACCTTCTCTACCCCGCAGCTTCTTTTTCCTTGTCCCACTCCCTCTCAAAGAAGGCATCCACAGCGGCAGCGGCGACGTCAACACCCACCACAGGCACTTCGTAGCAACGTCTGACAGAGAGGAGAGGTAGTCCACGCGCCACCGCACTCCACTCAACAACGGTGTCCGCCTCCGCCCCCTTCTCGGTCTCCATGGTGCCCACCCCCTCCGCCTTGCCGCCTCGGCGCCTCCGCACAATGCTCTTGTCGACGAGTACAGCCTGCACAACGGAAGGGGTCTGCTCAAACAGGGGCGGGACGACGGCAACGGTTTGCCCAAGACGCAATCGCTCTGAGGGGATGACACGTAGATGGAGCCCCAAAGCCTCGTGGACGGTAAGACATCTCCATCGTTCGAGGACGTAGCCCTTCCACTCAGGTGGGCTCCTGATTTCCACCTTGGACGCCTTCTTCTTCGCACAAGCTTCTCCATGCAAAGTCGCGGTCGCCCTTAACGTCATTTGAAGATCATGCTCCTCCTCCTTCGGCGTCTTCGCTTCCTGCGCTGCATCTGACGATCGATTTCTCTTAGCCTTCAACTTAACTTTCTTCGCGTCGCCTGAGGTATTCACGCAGCCTTCGTTCGTCTTTGAAACTGTCCCATTGATGCTGTGGGAGCGGGGTTTGTGCGCCCTTGTCTTTAGCGGCGTGCGGCACTGCAAGGTGGCGCCGGGGTTGGGGTTCTTTCTTGGGTGAAGAAGGTCCCACCGGACGCGTATGTCTTCCCGCTGTAAACCCCCCTTCCCCTTTACGCATTCCTGTGCCACAGCCGGCCACATCTCGACGAACACCTTGTTCTGGCGTCTAATATCATCCTTCTGAGTCTTGTAGTAATCCGTCATACCTCCCGGCATCTCTGCCATTCCAGGCACCTCAAAGGAAAGGTTACGGAACCGCGCCGTCTTCAGTCCGTGACTTATAAGCTGCAAGGTGTAGTCGTAGTCCTCGCGGATGCGGAAGCGGTAGACGCACTCGGGTGGCAAAAGATCATAGCGAAAAAGTGAGGCAATGTTGTTGTAACTGTTTAAGGCCAAATCGCGATCACCGTACTTGTAGGCAAAGCGGGGGTACTCCAGCGAGAAGACAGCGACGTCATTCATGTCGCACGCAGAACCGTGCATCGCTTGGATGCGGCTGTAGACCTCAGTGAAGAGTTGGCGTGGCGTGATTGCACTGTTCTTGCCATTCCAGGCCATGTAGAATCGTTGAATGTCGTCATCCATCACCCAAAACCACTGTGCCGCCCGCGGCACGGAGGTTGCTGAAGAAGTTCCCAACACTCTTGGCACAAGTTCTCTCAGAATGTGATTCCGCACGTAAGACACGCCCTGATCGGAGAGTGGCAGGGAATGAATCTTGACGAGTTGCCGCACCTCAGATGCATCGCGCTCACGCAGTGTTGGCAGCGGGGCCGGGGCGGGGCGGGGGCGTGCAGGGCGGCGCGGAGCCCAACACCTGCGACGGAAGCCATGAGTCCTGCTGGGGCCCCGGATGTTGCGGCAGCCACTGCGACGCGTCGTCCCCCGCGTCCCCCCACCACTTCTTCACCAGCCGATCCACGAGCGCGTCGTACAAAGTGCGCTCCTCTGGCTGCACAACAAGCGTGAAGGGCACCTTGTCTTGTATCAGGAGCGAGATGGTGCCGCGCCCAGTGTGATGTCGTGACTTCGATGGAACAAATACAGGGCAGAAGTATTCCCTTGTCTGTCCGCTTGCGTCCCCAACACCCACACACGACGTGGTGGCGCCAGTGGCGCAAGCGGCGTATCCCAAATCACAGTTTTTATGACTGTCTGCTACAAGGCGGACACCACTTGTAGGAGGACTCTCTCCCAGTAACGTCGGGGACTGCAATTGTGCGTCACGCATCGTGCTCCTCTAGCCGGTGTGCGGAAAAGAGCCCACCCACAAACACAGAGGACAAACACAGGTGATAAACGTTGGCTTACGTTCCACACACTCTTTCTCACCCTGCCGCACTTTCTGGTGGTGGTGGTGGTGATGGAGTGGGGAGTAATCGGTGTTCTGTGGCAGCAACAATGAGGGCAGTGCGGCGCAGAGAAAATGGGAAGAAGCGCATTCCTGCGGACCACGAGAAGAAACACATGGGAGAGCGCGCCATGGAACAGACGCATACGCACCGAAAGCCAGAGGTAAGGAAATAGAGAGAGAGAGGGAGAGGAGGCGTCTGAACGTGTGTGAGGGTGTGTGTTTTAGTGTGCGTTTGTGTTGCACACTCACGCGGACCACACAGAAAGAAGACACACTTATGTACATGCACAGGTGTTTGTAGAGGAGAGATACGTGGGTGCGACCCTCTTAACCCTCCGTCGCAGCGAAGAAGCGGCAGCGGAGGCCTAACAACAGTTGGAGGAATGCTGCCGCAAGGCACAACACTCACCGTTGTTCTTCCATCCCTTGTTAACATCACATCAGCAGAGGCAAAACCAAAACCAAAAACAAAAAGGATCCAAAAAGAAAAAAGAAACGAACAAACGAACGTAAAATCATTAAGGAAAGGATATCTGTTTTTCTTTCCCCCCTCCACCCCCCCTGCCTGGCTAAGGGGATGACGCGACAGTGCTGGCGACCACCACCCCGCCAGCGCACTTGGCTAGACCAGGTCCAGCAGTGCATCTCTTATCGCCCGCCTGCTGGATGCCGGTCGGCCGACGGCGGTCGGAAACGAGAACGGCGCGAGGCCCTCCCCGTGCACGCGGTGCTCCCAGGCAAGCGAGAGGGTCAGCATTGCCTCCACGCAGAGGCACCGGCACGCGACGCACACTCGATTCCACACACGGCCACGCGACGCCTCCGCAGCGGCGTTGATCTCGTCGTCCTGCACACACACGGCCTCGGGAAGCTCCATGAACGCCTGCACTTCGTTCTCGCCGCCCTCCGCTGCCCACATCACACGCACGGAGTCCCGACTCGCCGCAAGACGCAGAGGCACGCAAGCAGATGGCGGCAGATATCCACAATTCTTTATTTTTCTTTTATTCAGCAGGGAGCTCAACTTCGCCCGCAACTTCTGGTTTGCTACCTGAGCAAAACGAAAATAGCCTGAACAATGAAAAAGGAAAGAAGCAAGCAAATACGGCACAGCGGCCGGAACGCCTCCCGGCCCACCCACTCGGCAACCGCCTCACACCCGCTCCCAGACGCACACACAAAACGCAGGGGAGAGTCATCATTTTTAGACGAAGGAGAAACAACTGTTCGCGAAAGTCAGATCGACAAAACGCAGCTGACAAGCATTTTGCAGGTTCCACGTGACGGGAAGAAACCGCACCCCAAGAAATTTTCGTCCGCCCACTTTGGCAGGGAGACGTCGCTCCAGACGTACATCGCGAAAGCGGAGCGGGATGGCAAACCTGCGGTCTACAGTAATCCTGCCGTCCCTTTCGGCGCGGTGTTGACGTCGCAGTTCCAGTTCGTGCTGCAATGCATACTGCGGCAGGAGAGGCTTCATCTGCAGTAACGTCGGCACAATACGAATTGACACGGGGGTCTTGCCTGCACGCAATGAAAGGGCGTCTCTCTCGCCAGCTCTTGGCGCAGCGCGCGGCATCTCTCGTTCCTCTATTGAAAACCATCAATACAATACCAACAAAGAAAGAAAGGAACGCAAGTGGATTGTGGCAGGGCGAGGAATGACAAAAGGAAACAATTGACACCAGAAGGGGGTGGGGATAATCGCAACAGATAGCAACACGGAGTCTAACACAGAGAGACGCAAAGAAACAGCAGCTAGATGCCGCCCCACCGTTCCACCGCAGCCAACATTTATTTCTAATGCGCCCGTGTGTGGCGGCGAAAACACAGACAACGATTGTTCTCCGGCATTGCGTAGTCCTCCTCCAGCTTAAAGTCCACCTGCGCCAGAAGGGACTCCACCGCCTCCTTTTCTCGAATGCCTCGCTCAGGGTCACATTGCTTGAGCTGGGCATCAAAGCGCCGGTTGCTTTCGGACGTGTAGGCGCCGTTGTAGTTGAACGCACCGTACACAATAAACATTCCGCCCGGTCTTACAACGAGCGGTAGGCGCTGAATGAGGGTGCGACACGCACGCCACGGCGCAATGTGAAAACTATTTGCGGTAAAGACGAGATCGTAGCCAAGATGCGGGAACTCAGTGGCCAGGGCGCGAATCTCAAGCCAACGAGCCTCCATGTCCGTGAAGCTTAGCGCATACGGCCGCTTGACGAGGGCAGGGTGATCTTTACCGTCTTCCTGCAGCCATCGACAAATCCCCGGCAGCATCTCAGGCAAGTCTGTGCAGACCCAACGGGTAATAAGCGGGGGAGGAAAGCGCTGCGTCATGTAAACAGCGTGCTGCCCCGTCCCGGCCGCCACCTCCAGCACAGACACGCCGCCAGCACAAGGACTACTTTTACCCCCGCTACTGGAGGAACTCGTACAAACATCTACGGGACAGCAGATCCGTTTTGTGCGCAGCAGTTGCTCAAGAACGTCGCCGATGGGCTCACTATTGTAGGCGCACGACTCGTAGTAGGGCTTCTCTGTCGCCATTTACGTAACAGCGAGGCAACATATTACCTATGCAACTGCTCCCGCCCAAATAAACAACAACAAAGACACCGGCAACAACAAGAACTCTATAGACACAATGGTGGCAGCACTTGCAACTTGCGTCCGTCCTCAAAATTCTCTTCTGTGAGGCTTTGCGCCACACATGAGCCGGCCATCAGAACCATCACCAGATGAGCTGAAGCAAACTCAGCTCCGTAAATACACCGCGCTTCCCGATTGCAAGTAAAAACAGGATATATAATATATATATATATATATCTTTTCTCTCCTCATATTTTCTCTAATTTATTCGATGACCCGCACGCCGGCCAGCACCGCACAAGACGTCTGTCCCCAGCAACTGGGGACGTGGCAAAGAAACCACGTCCCTGTTATGAGGAAACTGCATGGTAGGGGGCAGATGAAACATACACACGCACGCACACGCCGTCAGGGGGCCACGCAGAATTTAGACTGTAGAGCGCCACATTTTCATCCCACGCCGCCGAGGAGGAGGAGGAGGAAGAGGGGAGAGGAAAAAAAAACAAAAACGAAAATAGAAGTAATCATATGAAAATATTTAGGTCCCTAATTAAAGAACTCAGCCTGAAATTCACCCTCTTTTTCCCTTTCATCAAGCGCGATCGCATAAAAAGGAGGGGTAGCTTAAACTTGTGCATGGGTGTGTTCTTCATCTTTGAGCACCCCACTCCCCTCCCGCAGAATGATTATATCGCACAACGAATTTCAGTGTTGACCGTTTGCACGCATTCCCCCCCTTTCCCCACGCATCGTTCTTCTTACAATAAATTTCACTGATACATATATATATATATATATACAATTAATCTGCGCCCCCAATTAGACGCGTCGATGATTCTCACAAAAGGAGCGAATACGGCCCACAGCATCTTGCATCATCGGCAAAGGCCGCGAGACGGTAATCCGCAGAGCCCCTGGCATATTAAAAGGCTCTCCAGGAAATACATGCACATTTTGCTCCTCTGCAAGCTTCTTGGAAAACTCAACGTCCGACTGAATACTGCTCTCCAATTCTTCAAAGGCGAGAACGACAGACATAAACATCGAACCACGCGGCCGCACAGGCTTCAGCCCGGGAGCCCCGTTCAAGCCGTTGTAAAGCGTCATTGCCCCCTCCTCCATACGTTTCGCGCAGTCATCAAAAAAACTCTGTGGCGTCTCCTCAAGGGCCTCCACAACAGCGCACTGCAAAACCGAGTTAGGCATCAAAGAACGGGTTGCCAAACAGTGTACCGCTGCCTGCAGTTTGACGCCATAACCGTCACGGTCAAAAACAATCACCCAACCAAAGCGATACCCTGGAACGTTGAACCGCTTCGAGAGCCCGCTCACAACAAAAATAGGCACAGGTGTGTCGAATGCCGCCACGGAGGTGAATGTCTCGCCGGAAAAAACCAGGCCCGCGTAGACCTCATCCGCAATAAGCGGGAGATGCAATTCCTCACACACACGGATAAGGTCCGCAAGGTGCTGCCGTGAGAAGTTACTGCCGCACGGGTTGGACGGATTGTTGATCAGAATCGCCTTCGTCTTATCATCAACGAGGCTTCGCAAGTGATCCAAGTCGATCTCCCAGTCTTTCTCGTGGTCGCAACGATAATGCCGCGGTTCAATACCGTAATAGCGGCAGATTGTGTCGTAATGCGCAAAAAAAGGAGACGGCAGCAAAATATTGTCACCTTCACTGCACATGGCACCAAAACACATTGTCAACGCATCCGCAGACCCCGACGCAACTGCAACATGGTCAGCCGCAATTTCGCCTTTCATGGAAGGAAGAAAGTTTTTCTTCCAGTATTTTCCAATAGCCAAACGCGTTTCCTCGAACCCAAAGCAGCAGCTGTATCCGTTACACATGTTAGACTTAGCACATTTCGCCACGCTTGAGACAAGCGACGACGGAGGAAGAAAATATCCGTCCAGCGCAGGATCGCCAATAGCAAGAGAAATCAAACACTTTCCCGATGAACCAGCAGCTGATGCCGCCTGCAACTCCTGCACAAAACGATTAAGGTTCCCACAACAACGCTCCGCACGCTTAGAAAGCTTCAACTCACCGAAAGAAGAGGGCATAGCAAAACTTTATTCAGTAAAACACTTAGGGACGAGGAAAAAAAATTCAAAGCAGACCGGAAAAAAAGTAGTAGCACGACACGCGCAGGCGCAGCGACAGAGGCGTAGACACACAAGCAGGCACCAAGCAGGGAGCCGCAGGGGCGGCATTTCAAGCAGAGAAGTGCTGGGAGGGGACAAGGGAGGTCTGCCCACCATAGAAAAATAAGTAATGAACGTCTTGAAAAACAATTACTGCGCTTATCAACAATCAAGTTACCTGTAATTTTGGTCGACGAAGAGGGCGCCGCCCCACCTCTTCGCTAGGCGGGAAGTAAAAATAAAAACAAACAGAAACAATGGAAGAAAAAATCATGGGACAAACTCAAAAAAAAAACCCGACCCGCACGTAGCGCTTGAAGAAAATAACAAA